GACTTACCTTAGAGTGTAGACCTCCAGCGACGTGCCATCACCGCTGCAGAAGGCTTCAATGGTCACCGGACTTCCTTCCCAGTTTGCAGGCTCTGGCCACTTGATTGACCAAGCTACAATGACGTCACTCAGTCTTGGCAGCAGCACAGAACTCTGAAGGAACGGCATAGCTCCTCCAGAGTACATATGCCGGTGACGTCATCGGCTGCAGGGACACTGAATATCTCCCAAACGATGAATGTTTAGAAGATATTACTTGTACCTACAGGTAAGCTTTATTTTAAGTTCAGTAGGAGTTTAGTTTCACTCTAAGAGAGCAGTGGAACATACAGGAACATTATGTCTGCTTTCAGGCTAAGTAGTCTTTAGAGAGTTCCTTAAATGTGTTGACGTTTTTGTCAATGGTGAAAGACAAAAGGTGGCCCACCACTGGCAAGGGTGATGATTGATCAGACAGATTTACACGAGTGGGTGGACAACAGGAACTGGATTCCTAATCTGTGTGATGACTCCTTCCCCTCAACCGTGGTGAGCTTACTTTCTGTACTGAACCCCACAGACTTGACATCATCACGGAATCTTGCCATTTTCAGATGGAACGGGTGGCTATCGACTTATATCTATAAGTACCTTAAGATAAGGCCTCAAAGTAGCCTGCACTGCTTAAAACTGCTTTAATAAAAATAAATTCGGGCAGCACAGTGGCCATAAGCAATTCCGTCTAGCAGCACTAGGGTCATCAGTTTGAATCCCAACCACGGCACTACCTGCACAGAGTTTGCATGTTCTCCTTAGATTGTAAGCTCCTTGAGGGTTAGGGACTGATGTGAATGTATAATACATATGTAAAGCACTGTGTAAATTGACAGCACTATATACGTTTCTGAAATAAATAAAAATAAATTAAATTTGATGTTCTGGAAATTCAAGTTGTTGAGCCATGTCAAGGTTCAGGTCAGGTATTCCTTCTGTTGTCTAGTATCGGTGGCTTGTTGTCTCTCTGAGACAGGTTGTTTTGCAGAGTCCACAGGAGAGCTTGAAGTATCAAACATGTAACTAGTTACATAGGACTCTGAAAGAGGTAAGCCAATCAGACTTTGACTGCAACCTAAACAAATGATTTCCCAGCACTGACCGGCTAGCCTGCAAAACAAGCAAACTGACCCTGTCTAACAATTCACATTAAAAACAGAGGTTTTTGTTTGCACACATAAAAATATATCTGTAAGCAGCAGTGCCTCTGCCAAGGCACCTCTGTGTACTGTGGCCCTAACTATAATTTTCAGATTAAAGTGGTTCTAAAGGCAGAAGGTTTTTTAACCTTAATGTATTCTATCTATCAAGGTAAAAAACCTTCTGAGTGCAGCACCCCCCCCCCCCCCCCTCAATCCAGCAATGTGCATAAGAGCAATGGCTTTGTCAGGTCTCTCCCTGTTCATTGGCTCACACAACAACGGGAACCATTGGCTCCTGCCAGTCACAGCCAGCAAGCCAATGAGAAGAGAGTGGGAGGCAGGGCAGAGCCAAGGTTTTTGTGTGAATGGACAATGTCCATTCACAGGAGCATGGCTCGGGTAGCAAGCCTGCTCGAGTGCTACCATAGCAAGAAGCTTGCTCTTGGGGGCACTCAGAAGGAGAGAGAAGCCAGGACTGCCAGTGGGGGACCCAAAAAGAAGAGGATTGAGGCTGCTCTGTTCAAAGCCATTGAAAAGACCAGGTAAGTATAAAATGTTTATTTTAAAAACAGTTACAACCTTTAGAATCACTTTTAGGGCAGGTGTGCCTGGAGGGAGCCCACCTTTTCTTAAAGGCACAGGAACGCATGTGATGACCAGCAAGAGCACAATGACAACTGAAGGAACAGAGTGTGTTCCTGTGAATTGTTCACAGGGTAAATGTGGTTTTTGGCAAGCTAGCTGGTAAGTGCGCTGGGAAATAGTTTGTTTGTGATGTGCATCGCCCTTCCATGTGCACCTTACTGCAAAGGCTAGTTATAGATTGGGGTGGTTACTGCTTTTTTATGGTAACCTGCTGTTTATGTGTGCCAGAAAGCAGTTCAGTAATTGGTTAAACTTCCTCTAGCATGTTTGTCCTTCTCCTATTTCCCAATGGCAAATGACCACTGATCTATGGGCCACTGACAGCCAAATTACCATGGATTCCAAGTCATTTTTTGTTTTTTATTCTTATTTTAAAGCTGTGTTTTACTACCACTTTCTTCCACCACTCACCCTCCAAACATGCTCCTTACAACTCCCTGCTTATCTCCTGTTTCACTCTACTGACTACTAGTAGGAAAAGTCAGTACAACACAAATAAAGAGGGGGGGGGCACACTTACCTTTGCACATGATGAAGTTTGTTCAATAACAATTTAGCTCAGTTTCTAGAGACAAAAATGCCAAGTTAAACATTCACTCACATCAGCTCATTTTATCAGTGTGACCTGCCACAACCTTTAACAGTCTATATTTCAATTTCCATCACACAGACCTTCTACCTCTATGAAGGTACTTGAACTTATAACCAGACAGTGAATCTCTTTGACTGTATTAATTTGAATTCTGACATCAAAATAAAACACAAAGTGATGAATGGGAGGCAAAAATCCTTGCATAACCCTGTAAGGTTGTCCAGATGAGTTACGGTTATAAAAAATGAGAACAGCGAGGAAACCTATAAAATGGGAGCAGAATAGATGGGTTGCCCTCAGATAGCAATCAGATCATTTGCCTCATTTGAGATATAAAACGTGGTTGGTTCCTATTGATAAATGCTCAGTTTCTGCAAATTAGCACCAGTGTCTGCATTTAGTGTGTAAATCATGGTAAGAATATTGTAATCACCATGGCTTGTATGTCTACTCTGTAATGAAAAGCATACAATGGGAGTTCCCAGGAGTTACATGGAACCGTTTGGTTATTTAACATTCTAGCTTCAGCCAACTAAAATATAACTGCTAGGTGGACTAATGATATAAGGTGCACTTGGAAGGTCCTGGGCATAGTGTTGCTCTTTGGCCCAGTTATTAAAGTGGACCTTTCAGTAATATTACAAGTCTGCATGGATACATCCCTAACATGATACAACATAGACAGGGGCGACACCAGACCCGCTCCACGAAAAGGTAAGTTGTAAAGCAAGCTGTCAATGCCCACAGGATGGATCGATCTGCGGACTGAGCATAATGGATCGGACTCCGATCCATTATGCTCCCCAATCCGCAGATCCGATCCATCCTGCAGGGATCATCGGCATGCAACCTATACGGAGTGACACTGGACCCTCTCCACGAAAAGGTAAGTTGTAAAGCAAGCCGTCAATGCCCACAGGATGGATCAGATCTGAGGATTGAGCATAAGGGATCAGAGTCCGATCTATTATGCTCCCCAATCCGCAGATCCGATACATCCTGCAGGGATCGTCGGCTTGCTTTACAACTTACCTTTTCGTGGAGAGATCAGTTAACCCCGTATAGGTTGGTTGCATTCCGACGATCCCTGCAGGATGGATTGGATCTGCAGATAGGGGAGGATAATGGATTGAACTCCGATCCATTATGCTCAATCCGCAGATCCGATCCATTCTGCAGGGATCGTCGGAGGGGGTGTCACCAAGTGCTACTGCACCAGGTGACACCAACCCTAGGGACGTCCCTGAATATAGCGTAACAGTATAGTTTTTTTTTTCAATTAGTTCAACCTTGAAAAACAGCACTTCAGCTTTATCCAACTGACTTTGCCTAGGCTTAGCCAGTCTTTTTCCTCGAGTGATTGGACTTTGACATTGTAGCATGTCAGATGAGAGGTTGCTGCAGAAGCTTTTTATCAGATGTGTGAACAGCCAAGACCTGCACAGGCACCAGCATTTACACGATTATCTCATCTCAGGGCCAGCATTCCTTTGGTGATGCCTGAAAAAAGATGGCTCTGTCCTTCTGAAGAGAAAAACTGATGAAGACATTGCCACACGGAATACTGTGATCTCTATGAGAGATAGTACATTTCTAGTAAATGCACACTGAGTGTTTAGGTCCTGTGCATGAGGCTCCGGTGTTCAGGTGCAAGTGGAAAGCGCAGGTGCACTGTTCAGACCCGATGCCAGAACCCTGTAAGTGTCTATGAGAGGCTGACAGCTGCTGTGGCTGGATCATTCACCTTGTATGTGCCCAGAATGCAGACTTGTTGAGCTGCGGGCATTCATCCCTGGGCACATACTGCCCTAAACGTCATTAGCACTAGGTTCATCGTCCAGCCGCAGCAGCTGTCAGTCTCTCATAGACCTTTACGGGCTGCCAGCAGGGTGGACAATCCACCTAAATGCCGGAGCCTCTGGCAGTGAGGATAAACACCCACTGTGCATGGGGCCTTCGTCCACTTCACATTGAAAAATATATATCGGATTCTAAGTCCACTTTAACAGTTCCATCTCTGACATAAAGAACCTAAACCATAATAATACAAAGACATGACATGGATTTAAAACACATTGTATATAGAAATGTTTAATATATTAAAATCAGGCAGTGAGGCGCGTAGGAATCATAAATACACAAATATAGACAAGGACTGTGCAACTGGGTCAAGCCCCACCCAGGGCAATAAACAAAGTCCATTTCATTCAGTTTAATACTGCTTGGCATGAGAGCTCCATAGTCATGCTGAGGATTATTTGTGCGGAGAGCCGTACCGGATAGGCTTTTCTTCTGAGTGTCACACCAGTGTTGTAGGTTAAACAAAATGTGATGTCAAAAGACAGTGCAAAACAGTTTGGTAAACAAAAGAGGCCTTATGAAAAAATATATCAAAGAGCTCAACAGCTTAATACTGTCCCTTCTTAATACTGCAACCTTTCGCTGCATGACGGAAACAATAACCTCAATACAGAATCATTTCCATCACAGCGAAAGAAAAAAAATTTTATATCTTTTTTCAGCACAAATAATCCGCTCACCCAATGAATGTGAACGCAATTTAATCATAAAGGTCCTTCTCAGTGCATTCAACACTTGGTCCGTCTCTGGTGCAATACACGTAATGATAAGACAGGTTCCTGGTTCATAAGCTCAGCGAGGCGAGTCTGTCCAAGTATTGACACTTTTGTACCGTTCACCTCCAACACCTCATCTCCAACACGTAGAAGACCTGAGTAAAGCTTGGCTGTGTTCGCATCACTCATTTCCTGAACATATATACCTGCACAAAAGCAAAAATGTCACATAATTGAGGTACATGAAAAAGGACTCCCATGTCCCAATCCCCATGTAGGGTTATCCTATTTGTTGTTCGAAGTATTACAAAGTGTGTATGGCAGATGGGTGTTGTTGTCGGCAATAAGGCACAAACCATAAACAGAGCTTGAACCCCCAGCAAAAACAATATTGGGCATTGGCTAGGTACCATAAACTTATATCTAATGATGTGTGTTCACTCGTGTCTACTTTGTTCCTAAAACCTGGTAGATTCTTGCACCCCTGACAGTGATGATGAAGGTGCGGAACTGACAGCCAGGACTGGAGCACAGCGTTCTGTGATTGGACAAGAAGAGTGTATGACATTCATGTGCACCTTGTCAAATCACAGAATTCCTTATAGTGGTTGTAAACCTCAGGCATGAAATATAAGCAAAGCATATCCCTCTATAGTGTGTACTTGTCTCAATTAAGAGCACGAAGTGTCATTTCTGTCTGCTGCTTCATTCCTCTGGTATCAGCATAAATCACTTTTGACAAGTTTTCCTGACACCAAGAGAAAAATGGTGACAGGGAAAGGACCTCCAGCAGACTGACTGCCTCAGCTCTGTTCCTGTGTGCTGTGTGAAGGGGGTGTGCCCCTTCTCTCCAATCAGCTCTCAGAGCTCTCCTCACTGAGCTCTGCAGAGTATAATTTCTCTTCGCCCCCTTTTTTCTGAACTCTCAGACAAGCTTTATAAATTCAGCACTTTGAACGGATGAAGAGAAGAGAAATACTGCACATAGACAGGTACAACTTATGTAGGAGGATTTTTTCATCTCTGTGTGTCACCTGAGGACAGTCACTTCACTAGGTATATGTGAAGGATTACAACCACTTTACATTTTTTGAAACGTATACAAAAAGTTTTCTGAATAGAGGAGCTGCAGAGCACGTTACTATGATTGCTGTGCTCCACTCCCAACTGTCAGTTTCAGCAGCAGAGGTTGAGAGCGTAAAACACTGTCAGAGGGTGCATTACTCCAAGGCCCCATTGACACTTGGGTGTTTCAAATTGGCTGCCCCCAAAGCACGCTGCTTGCTAAGGAGGGTGGTTGTGCAGGCTCCATCCTGAGCCACACTGTGTGTCTATTGACACACGCAGCGCAGCCCGCCCACCTGCCCACCTATCTATGCTCACCGGCTGTGATTGACAGCAGCAGGAGCCAACGACCAATCAGTCAGTAAACTCTGAAGATGCAAGAGGCCAAACTCACAGATGAAAGAATTATGGAAAGGAGAATGAAAAAAGAACAAACTATAAGTGGAAAAGAAGGGTACAAAATGAAGAATGTATAGCAAACATAATACAGATATATGACAAAAAACATAAAAATAAACTCCCAATTTAAAGGGAGCCTATCGGGATAGAAATATGACAGCTACCTTCTCTGTACAGGTCTTTCATTTACTACTTGGTGAGTCCTTGTCTCAGAAGTGGGTCAGTAGTTCTGATTGTGGGAGGTAAATGGCTAAGTGGTGAATCAAGGAAGGATGAAAGACAGCCAGGAGTCAGAAATGGCAGCTCCAATATTTATATCTTGACAGGTCTCTCTCAAAGTGTTACTAAACCCAGGATCCTGCATTCACTGTATCTGGTCTCCCACAGTACACACAACATGGAAAAGCAATTATTTTAGTAAATATAAACTGCTAAATAGCTTTCTCATCAGCAGTTACAGCAGTCTTGTGGCTTCTATCAGTGTCCAGCTGAGCACTGGTTAAATCTTGTAGGAGTTTTCATTTTGCTCTGACTGTCTATAAGGTTGCATGATCCCTGCCCCTCTGGGCAGTGCTGATTGGCCCTGTGCTGATGACATGCACCCTCCCAAAGAAAAAAAAATAAAAGCTCCAGCCTTACACACTAAACTGAGCATGTGCAGAGTGACTCCTAGAGCTCTGTACTATCAGCAAATGGATTGGGGACAGTAGGAGAAGGGGAGGATCAGAGAAGACCGGATTAACCAGCCTTTTTTTTTTTTTACACACAATAGGGAGGATTAACCCCTTAGTTTATACAGTGAGAACAAGCATTCTTTACTGCATATACAGACTGATTTTTACTGTTGTGGGGATAGTAACACTTTAAACTGACAGGGGGACCTCTGGGCTTTCACTCACCTGAATCAGGCCTTCCATTACCAGCTGAAATCCTGAAGCCAAATGTGCCACTTTCAGGGCGCTGCAATTCTAAAAGGCGCGTACCATCTGGGTAAACTTCTGCCACTTTCCCTAACACACGTGCTTTTCCAGGAGATCCGATATCCTCCACACTGAGGGCACGCCTGAGAAAAGAGATAGCACATTAATGATGCATGAGCCAGGCATAGTGCTAGTCTGCCTTTTGGAACAATAGCTAGTGCGTGTTCCTAGCCTGGTTCTTGTCTATGCTGCCACTGAGGGTGACTTCTTAGTGAATGTAAGGGCCAACTTATAAGATATGTAGGCAGGAGAGTTTTTGATACAACAAAGAACATAAAAGCACATAAAAGACTGGTAGGCAGAATATGTGCCTAAACAATAGTTTGATAATAATCAGACACAAGGGTGCAGTGACCTGGTATGTAGTAACCATCCTTGCAGAGAATGATCTGAAGCAATAACCCCCAGTAATGGTAAGTAGCAGGCCTAGACTGATACCTGGGTAATTCCAGCAATGACCTGAAGGGATGCCTGTGGGCATCTAAGCCTCAGAAAGTAATTCTTAAAGCAGGGTTCTCCAAACTGCAGCCCGAGGGCCGGATTTGGCTCTTTGCTACCCTTTATCTGACCCCTGGGGCACTATTTCTCCCCAACAATGGGGCAGTACTTCCCATGAAACCAATGATGGTGTACTATTCTTTTCACTAATACCAATGGTGGGGAACTACTCCTCCTCCTACCGACTAACAATCCTGAGGCCATGTATATTCTCACTGATGCTAGGGCCAGGACATTTTCTGTCCTCACTGGCCCTAATCCGACCCTCCAAGTCTGAAGGATAGTATATTGCAGCTTACCAGTTCTTACTGATGGTGGCATAACTAAAACCAAAAACAATTATTCAGTATATTGCAGCTTACCAGTCCTTACCCATGGTGGCAAAGAAAACAAATGTAGCCACCACATCTAAGGACTGGTAGACTTCTTATATTTGTTTTTCGTTTTCAAGTTTAGATACACTGTAAGCCCCTGTAATAGCTGGGTAATTGCCAGGTTGTCAAGGTTAGCCACAAATAACTGCCATTAATCCAATGGTCTGCAGACTAAGGTGTTGAGCTTTAAACCTCCCATGGAGCAAGATGTTTTCATCCAGACTGGGCGACAATCTCATATCTGTGTCTCCAATGCCTCCAGCAAGACACTATTTACAGAAATGAGAGATTGGATGGGTTGGATATGTAATTGGATTTTGTCCTTCTTGATAACGCCCTCCATATTTTTATAATACTCATACTCGGAATGGTCTAGGGTGTCAGTGGTGTACCCCAAGGTTCAGTGTTGGGACCCTTACTTTTTAATATATTTATAAATGATATAGGGTCTGGAATTATAAATACTGTTTCAGTCTTTACAGGATGTCTCCAACTTACAAGCCGACCTCAATGCACTGTTTAATTGGGCAACTATGTGGCAAATGAGGTTTAATGTTGATAAATGTAAGGTTATGCACTTGGGGGCTAAGAATATGCATGCATCATACATACTAGGGGGGGGTTCAACTGGGGGAGTCAATGGTGGAGAAGGATCTGGGAGTTCTGGTAGATCACAAGCTTAATAATGACAATGCCAAGCTGCGGTTTCTAAAGCGAGCAAAATCCTCTCTTGTATTAAGAGGTATAGACTCCAGAGAGAGATATTATTATTCTACAGTATTTATAAAGCGCCAATAGTTTGCTCAGCGCTGTACATTACAAAGGGGGGACAGAACATGTGACAGAACAATACCAATACAATGCAAAACATGAGGGGATTGAGGGCCCTGCTCTTTCGAGCTTACAATCTAGGAGGGAGGGGATGGTGGCACAGGAGGAGATAGCTGTGGGGGAGGAGTGGTAGGAAGAGTGGAGGAGGTCGGCAAGTTAGAAGGGGTTGGTTTAGGCTTCCCTGAAGAGATGGGTTTTCAGGGTGCGCCTAAAGGAGAGGAGAGTAGGTGATAATCTGATGGGTTGGGGCAGGGAGTTCCAGAGGATGGGTGACACCCTGGAGAAGTCCTGGAGGCGGGCATGGGAGGAGGAGACCAGGGAACTAGAGAGAAGGAGGTCTTGTGAGGAGCGGATGTGCGTGCTGGGCGGTACTTGGATATTAGGTCAGTGATGTAGTTCGGGGCAGTATGGTGGACAGCTTTGTACGTCAGTGTTAGGATTTTGAATTTGATCCGTTGCGCAATCGGAAGCCAGTGGAGGGATTGGCAGAAGGGGGTGGTGGAAACGGAGCGGTTGGAAAGGTGAATGAGTCTGGCAGACGTATTCAGGATCGACTAAAGCGGGGATAGCCAGCGGCGAGGCAGGCCAGTGAGGAGGGAGTTGCAGTAGTCGAGTCGTGATGAGGGAGTAGATGAGCTGTTTAGTGGTTTCTGGGGTTAGGAACGTGCGGATTTTGGCGATGTTGCGGAGGTGAAGTCTGCACGAGTTTGTTAAAGATTGGACTTGGGGCTGGAAGGATAGGTTGGAGTCCAGAATGACACCAAGTACTCTGGCTTTCGGGGCGGGTTTGATGGTGGCGTTGTTGGATGTGATAGAGAAGTCAATGGGGGGTGGTGTCCGGGCTGGGGGGAAGACAAGAAACTTGGTTTTGGAGAGGTTCAGTTTAAGGAAGTGGAGTGACATCCAGTCTGATATGTCTCTCAGTAGGTGTGTGATTCGGGCGAAGACCGAGAGGGTGAGGTGGGGGGTTGAGAGATAGATTTGTGATATCATATTATCCCTGTACAGATCATTAGTAATACCTCATCTGGAATATACAGTTCAATTTCGGGCACCAATTCACAAAAAGAACATTGGGGAACTTGAGAAAAGTACAGAGAAGGGCTAAACTGATAAGAGGCATGGAGGAGCTCAGCTATGAGGAAAGATTAGAGGAACTGAATTTATTCTCTCTTGAGGAGATTAAGGGGGGATATGATCAACATGTATAAATACATCAGTGGTTCATATAGTGAACTCGGTGTAGAGTTATTCACCCTGAGGTCATCACAGAGGACAAGGGGACACTCTTTACGTCTGGAGGAAAAGAAATTTCATCTCCAAATACGGAAAAGTTTCTTCACAGTGAGAAGTGAGAAAATGTGGAATAGACTCCCTCAAGAGTTGGTTCTGGCCAGCTCAGTGGATTGCTTTAATAAAGGCCTGGATTGTTTCTTGGATACACAGAATATAACTGGATACGAACATTTATAGGTAACGTTGATCCAGGGAATATCCGATTGCCTCTCAGGGGTTGAGGAAGGAATTTTTTCCCTGCAGGAGCAAATTGGATCATGCATTACTGAATTTTTTTTTTTTTGCCTTCCTCTGGATCAACTGTGGGTGTAGGATTATAACTTTTTTTTTTCTTTTAATGGTTGAACTGGATGGACTTTTGTCTTTTTTTCAGCCAGCCTAAGGATAATAATAAAAATACAATAATGGAGGAGAATTGGCCTCCTCTCTGCTGCTTGCCTATCCCTCCTACATTATAGAAGAATATGGCCTGCTCTATTGTAATGAATGGACAATGCTGCAAGTTTGTAATGTCAGCAGTATTATACGAGTGTGAAGTTTATCTGTGGCATGTCCTACAATTCCCTGTATTTATAGCTGTACATTGTCGGACTCCCCTTTGGGGTCATGTGTGGCCTTCATACCTGGGAGCGGTGTTGAGGTCTCCTGTGATGTACACAGCAGAGCGGTCCGATTTACCCAGCAGGTTCTGCACAGAGGAGGCTTTTCTTGGGAGGTGAAAGGGTGACATCTGGTGGTGAATGAGAAGGCCAGCATGTTAGCATTGTTCTACAGCACAAAAACATCATTCACATCCTTTTCCATCCAAAACCAACATGCAGAAAATTGTAGTTCTATCATTAGCACAACTCAGCATATAAACAGCATTTTAAACAAAAGCAGATGATCCATATTGTGTAAACTGTGATGGAGAGAGAATTGTTATAGACCAATGACACTAGTAAAGCAAGCTTACACAGACATTACAAATCTTACAGCAGTGTACATACAATCACTTACCTTTCCTGGACAAACGTCACCTCTACAGCTCCCCCCTCCTTCCTGCATATCAAATGGCAAAAAGCCCTTACACTAGTTCACATGTGACTATTCACACGATCTAGAAGAATGTGAATGCTGGGAAACTCTACAGGACCGAGATAGGGGTCTCCGAAGTACAGTGAGCATGTTGTGTACCAGTACACGGTCCAATCACACAGCACACAGTCCAATCACACCATACACAGTCCAGTCACACGGCACACGGTCCAGTTACACGGCACACGGTCCAATCACACAATACACGGTCCAATCACACAATACACAGTCCAGTCACACAGTACACAGTCCAGTCACACAGTACACAGTCCAGTCACACAGTACACAGTCCAATCACACAGTCCAATCACACAATACACAGTCCAATCACACAGTACACAGTCCAGTCACACAGTCCAGTCACACAGTACACAGTCCAGTCACACAGTACACAGTCCAGTCACACAGTACACAGTCCAGTCACACAGTACACAGTCCAGTCACACAGTACACAGTCCAGTCACACAGTACACAGTCCAATCACACAGTACACAGTCCAATCACACAGTACACAGTCCAATCACACAGTACACAGTCCAATCACACAGTACACAGTCCAGTCACACAGTCCAGTCACACAGTACACAGTCCAGTCACACAGTACACAGTCCAGTCACACAGTACACAGTCCAGTCACACAGTACACAGTCCAGTCACACAGTACACAGTCCAATCACACAGTACACAGTCCAATCACACAGTACACAGTCCAATCACACAGTACACAGTCCAATCACACAGTACACAGTCCAATCACACAGTACACAGTCCAATCACACAGTACACAGTCCAGTCACACAGTCCAGTCACACAGTACACACGGTCCAGTCACACAGTACACAGTCCAGTCACACAGTACACAGTCCAATCACACAGTACACAGTCCAATCACACAGTACACAGTCCAATCACACAGTACACAGTCCAATCACACAGTACACAGTCCAGTCACACAGTCCAATCACACAGTACACAGTCCAATCACACAGTACAATCACACAGTACACGGTCCAGTCACACAGTACACGGTCCAGTCACACAGTACACGGTCCAGTCACACAGTACACGGTCCAGTCACACAGTACACGGTCCAGTCACACAGTACACGGTCCAGTCACACAGTACACGGTCCAGTCACACAGTACACGGTCCAATCACACACAGTACACGGTCCAGTCACACAGTACACGGTCCAGTCACACAGTACACGGTCCAATCACACAGTACACGGTCCAGTCACACAGTACACGGTCCAGTCACACAGTACACGGTCCAATCACATTCTAATGGACACTCACAGATACGTAAAGCTAACCTGCAGGCAAACAGCTACGTACTGTTGCTAAGCTAACAAGAAAGTACATACATAGGGACTCCTCCCAAGGAATATATTTCTGTCCATCCTGTACTGAGATTTACACAGCTCTGTCCCTCTTGGTAGAGCAGAAGACCTGTTTTTTATCTATTGCAGTTAAAGAGGAACTGAACTGCATCTGAGCATCACAAACCAAACATGCTATTTATTCATTGTTAATATTCAAATACACACACACACACCCTGGCAATTCTGGCAGTGGCCATCTTGAGTAAGGGCAGATGATTCATGTAGCATTTACTTCCTGGAATCCATCTGCCCTTAGCTCAGGTATTGGCTGAGCTGTGAACCCTCCCTTCCCTCCTGAAGACTGCTGGGCTGTATGACATCATTTGCCTAGGCATGGAAACCAGGAAGTAACTGAAGAAATGTTGAAAAAAAAAAAAGAAATTTAAAAGTAAATATAAATATAATATACTTTCCTGTCCATTTACTAATGCTAGCAGCATAAGGATTAAATATAGACCATGTTGATTGAGGAAGTGAAGTTCCATAATAAATGTTACTAAACCCAGGACCCTGCATTTACTATATCTGGTCTCCCACAGTACACACAACATGGAAATGCAATTATTTTAGTAAATATAAACTGCTAAATACCTTTCTCATCAGCAGTTACAGCAGTCTTGTGACCTCCATCAGTGTCCAGCTGAACACTGGTTAAATCTTTTAGAAGGAGTTTTCATTTTGCTGACTGTCCTATGAGGCTGCCCCTCTGGACAGTGCTGATTGGTCCTGTGCTGATGACATGCACCCTCCCAAAGAAAAAATAAAATCTCCAGCCTTACACACTAAACTGAGCATGTGCAGAGTGACTCCTAGAGCTCTGTACTATCAGCAAATGGATTGGGGACAGTAGGAGAAGGGGATGATCAGAGAAGACCGGATCAACCAGCCTTTTTTTTTTTTTTTTTTACACAATGGGGAGGATTAACCCCTTTGTTTATACAGTGAGAACAAGCATGCTTTACTGCATATACACTACTAAATACCTTTTCTCATCAGAAGTTCCATCTGTGTCCAGCACACCACTAGCTAAAGTTTGTAGGAGTTTCTTTCTGCTATAGGAGGATACAAATCTCCTGACCCTCTGTCTGGACATTGCTGATTGGCCCTGTGCTGATCACATGCACTCTCCCAAGAAAAAAAAAAACCCTCTCTAGCAATACACACCAAACTGAGCATGTGCACGCCTACGGTTCGCACAGGTGGTTGCTTAAAAAAGGGGAGGAACACAGAAGACAGGATCAACCTGTCTTTTTACACAATGCAGAGAATTAACCCCTTAGATTCCACAGTGAGTATAACAAGCATGCTTTACTGCATATACAGACTGATTTTACTGTTGTGGGTTTAGTAACACTTTAAGGATGTGAATACAGAGCTGCAAACGATTATTTCTGTCTGTTACATCTACCCGGAGTTCAGCTTTAATGTTCTCTAGATGGCCCGTTCATATGGGAAATGATGAATACAGACGGGCCCATACACTATGACATACAGTCATTATTATAATAATACAGGGTTTCTATAGCCAGCAGTTCACAAATTGTGGGCAGACAGTACAGTTACAATGAGGAATCAGAGGGCCCTGCTCGTTACAGCTTACCATCTAAAAACACCTGGCTAGTGAAAAGCTGTGCTTTCCAGGTATATGATAATGGCGTGCTGTGCTGCATCTTCTCAAAGCCCCCAGTCAGTTGTCCTGAATAGAACTGAGCAGCACAACGCACCAAAAATGAACACGCAGGATGTTTTCCAGTGCACTGCTACATGGTGGGAACACCATGCTTTTGTCTGCATTGGAAAATGTAAATGCATGTAGACACCCAAAATGAATTGTGATCTGCACCCAGCCTGATTCATAGTCATTGGGTGTTAGTGGGAAGGAAAGCGTCTATTGGTTAATGGGAGCAAAATATTTGTTTCCTGATTCAGTTCTACTCAGTCATGACAGGCTGAAGAGGAAAGTTCACCACATACAGGCCTAGGCTAGGTTCCCATCAATGCATGTGCAGTTGATGCATTTTTGAGGCCTGTTTTCCAGCAGCATGTTTTTGATGCATTTTTAATGCACTTTGCATTTTTTGGATACGTTAATGTTGCTTGGATGAGACGTCTGTTGTCATGTAGGAAAACACACTAAAAATGCACCAAAAACACATGTAAATGTTTATCATGCATTTTTGAATGAGATTCCATAGAACTTAATGGAGCCAAAAATGCACCGTAAAAAAAAAAAAAAAAAAGGCCCTGCACCTTTCCATAACATGCACTGGTGGGAACTGCATGGATGTGAATGTGGGCCATATGAAGTAATGTCAAGTGGACTGTAGTGCGTTTCTGCCATTCTGCAAACAAAAACTGCAAAATGCATAGGTGTGAACCTAGGTTAACATGCAAAATTGTGTGTGTTCCCAACCCACAGGAAAAATACACTTGTCTTTAGCGGACGCTTGGGGGTGCCACTGATTCTTTTTTTTTTATTTATTATTTAACTTTTAATTGATTTTCCAATATAAAAAGAACAACATATTTACAAAAATAATTCACATATACCTATTCCATTATACCCCCCTTTACCCCTCCCCCCATCCACATCCTCTTCCTGACTTATATCCTCTCTCATATTTATCTACTTGTCTCTTTTATCCCCTACATTGCTCTCCCTCAAAATCACAATTAAGACTCCCTCCTGGCTTCTAATTTTCTCCACCAATACCCACCAGTTCCATATATCTTTCAGAGGTTTTAAATTTCAACCAACTACACCACGTTTTCCCGAATGTTTCCATTTTATCCTCCTCTATATGACATAACTCTTCCATCCTATAAATATTTTCGACTCTATTTATCCATTCGTTAATTTTTGGTGTTTCAGGAACCTGCCAAAACTTGGGAATCAGACTCTTAGCCGCACTAATTAGATGATAAAGTACCCTGTTTTTATATCATTTCACCGAGGGCTCAAAGTTATAGAATAAAGAACTCCAGGGATCTTTCTGTACAATTATCCCGCATATCTCCTGAATATAATGAATTATTTCTCTCCAGTAATCCTGTATTTTTGGACAACCCCACCATATATGTACCATTGTAACCCTTTCTCCACATCCTCTCCAACACAAAGGTGATGTGTCTACTTGTTGTCTGTGAGCTATGTTTGGTGTAATATACCATCTAGTTAAACATTTATAATTCATCTCCACTGTGCTCATATTTGTGTTAATTTAAAAACTTTATTCCATTGCTGTACACTATGTGCCACTGATTCTTAA